GTCAAGCATATACATTTAGCAGTCCACGTCGCAGGGGACCCTTTGAATGTAAAATATTAATTGTGCAGAAATCCGGGCAGTACGTAGCGGGGCGCGTGATTTGCAGAGATTTCTAATTGCATTCGCGCGGTGTAATTGCGTAAGACCGCGCGATTTCTGCGAAGCAGATATTAATGATGCATTACACGGTCGAAACTGTGCTTCCGCTTTGTCGAAGACGTGTGGAGTTGAGTGTTATGAATAATGCGCCATGTGATTGTGCAATATTTATTGCTCCCGCAGAAACGTGATGGAATTGCCGCAAGAAGTGTGTCGGCACCGGAAATGAATTAAGATAATGTGCGAATCGTGGCAATTGGAATTGATATCATGTTCTAAGAGAAAAGGCGACGATATTTCTTTGCGCCTACTATTAATCTCAATAATGACAATTTTTATGCTATTATATATCTATAAGATAATAATTTCTTCGAAACATTTGTCTGATTACTTTTTCCCCGAATCGATAAGAATTTCTCTGTTTTATAGACAAGTATATCAGCGTGCTCGAAACTGTCGGATCGTTATCGGCGCTAACACAATGCGTCATAAAACTCCGAGTGCCAAAGAACTAATCCATCCCTTCGGCTAGCTGTGCGCAACCATAGCGACAAAACAGCGGCTGGAGTCGTATTTTTGCAGCGATGATCGTACGATGCGCGGCACAACGCGAGACAATAGCATCGCCCGCAGCGCGATAAAGCCGGCGACGCCATGCGTGCATTCGCTTGAACGCGCGCGTTGCAGTTGCAGCGATGTAACCGCACTTTTCACGAATGCATCTTACGTAAAGCTCACCGGTGCGAGCCATCAACGTTAACATCAAATTTATAATCCGGAATTATTTTAAACATAAAAAATATCTTATTTCTATTCATATCTACGCTTTCTTCGCTGTTTATTATTTAAGATAAACAAAAACGTAATTGTCCGTCCGAATTTTATATACTGTATTTGCAAAGTACTTAATTTTTAATAAAGCAGTTTTAGCCGCGCTGGATAAAATTTTAATTAAAAAATTCTTATTGACGTTTTTCCCGTTTTTTTTGCTTTCTTTTATTACAAAGAAAAGAAATAAAAATTTCGAATTGCTTTGTATAGTTTTGCCGTGCGGCAGTTGCGGCCCTGCGCAGTAGTCACGGACGGTGCTCGTCAGCCGAAATTCCGGCCGTTATTCGACGGGCTCGTCGGCTCGAAACGAGCTGGTTCTCACATCGGCGACGCCTATACTATTGCCGCTGTCGTTCAAAGCGCGTCCATAGCGGATACAATATGGGACTGTCCGTCACGACGGAAAACCGCGTGCTGCCGACGCGCGCTTTCGAGAGGGAGAGAAAACGCGTGTCCCGATGCCGACACACGACGACAAGACGCGACATCGCCGTTGGTGTCCTTCTCGTTTTACGGGACGCCGCGTCGAGTCGATTCGACCTGCCAATCCGCCATCATCCTTGCGAGAGAGCCGAATGCGCGTCTAGCGGCTTTTTTCCGCCGATCTGGCGTGTACATTGTGCCGAGGTAATATACGAGGGAGATATGCGTTTTCGTTTATCCGTCTTATCCGCGACAGGGCGTTTGTCACGTGTGCTTCAGTGAAACTTGTCGTTGAATCTCTCGTCAAGTCGCGACGACAACAGATTATCGGATATATTCAAAAATAAGAACGAACGTAATGTGTACAAAATAGACTGAATAACTTATTGTATATACATTTACTAATTTATCTTGACAATTAATTTTAAAAATAACTCTGATTTACGTAAATTAATTCTGATCTTTATTTGTTCCGCGCGAGAAAGCTCGATGCTCGCGAGATTCAAGTATGGACATAATGGAGAAATGTTGTTTCTTGCCGTTCTCGTATGGCAAAAGTGAAGGAAGGTAATTATTTTTACGATGAAATAACTCCCGAGCGAGTCTGCTATACGTGTTCTGAATGGCTACTACGATAAGACGAGAGACTAGCGCGGCTCCTCTAATTCATGCTAATTTCGAGGCGGAAAAAAGAACTTTTTGCATCGCTTAATTCAATTAGTTCCGCTCTTTGAATGTGGCAATTAGCATATTAACTTGACTATGCAAACCTCCCGATGCCCGCGCCCGAACGAAATTCGCGACTTTTCCACTTTTATCTCCTTGCTCGGCGTTTCGCTCATTATTGAACTTGTTTCGAACGCTATTATGATGCAAATTCAAAGTTAACAGGTTGCTTGCGACGAAAATATTGTCAAAAGTAACGAAGCGCCGAAAATCCATATTCAAAATTCAATTTGGTTGCTGCGCTGATGCCGTCCTCATAAATTTGAATAATTGAGTTGTCGGATTTTCAGGGTGGATGCCACTTTTAATGTAGTTAAGCTTTCTGCGCCATCAAGAAGGTCAATGTGTCAATCTCCGTGAAAAGACAAATAACTAATCGAATTTTCATTAACGATATGGAAAGTTAGCACATTCAAAAAAATAAAAATTATAATGCAAAGAGCAAAACTCATTATGATTTGTAGCGCTATCGGCGTACTTTACAAGCTCGACAACAAACACAAGTTCTCGAGTATCTACTTACGGATAATTTAACGAAATCGATCCCCGAAGAACGGAAAGAGTTCGACGTAATCGAGGGTCGGTCGGGAAAAGTTGCCGAACTAAAACTCTCCGGTGTGCTCATCGTCGGAAACGCGGAACGGACGTAATAATTGATCGCTCCTACTTCTTTCGGCGAGCTCTCTTTTAAGCCCGCCGCCGGCATCGTCGGCAACCTTCCATAGCTGTCTGAATGAATAACGCGCGCGCTTTTGTCCGCCTGTCGGAAAACGTTACGGTCGCTCCGCTAATAAGTCGCACGATAAAATTGACGTGAACGAGTTCCGCGGACACATGACGTTTAAAGCAGTAATTAATGTCGGCCGAACGGGATAACAGCGCAGATATTGCAAAGCTGTCTCGGCACATTAATCGGACGTTGAATACCGCGCATTGCTTTGAATACAACGTAACGTGATCCTGTAGATCTACCGAAAGAGATATTTGTGAGGAGATATCTGTACATGTTGGAATTTCGTATAACGATGATATCTTCATCATTTAGTCGTAAACTGAATTGAACAAAATAATTGGCCACAGATCCAAAAATGAAGAAAAAAATTAAATCAGATTAAATTAGTATATAAAATTAAAATAACTTCAAAATTTAATTCCAATTATAAAGTGAAAACTACACTGAACGTATTCGCTTTAAGTAATTTTATACAGAAATCGGAGTTCTTATATAAAAAAAATGTTTCAAGATAAAACCTGACGTAACTACATGTCGCTGACCTCGCTTAGGGTTATCCAAGAAGGTCATTAATCGAATGGATTGTCCTAGAGCTTATCTAACGTTATCGCAAAACGCTATAAGATTGGCGCAGATAAAAGAGAAGGGAGAAAATTCAAGCATAACATTTTTTGAAACAGCTAAAGCAGCTCTAAATTTTTCTCATTTTCTCAACTCCAAATTTCATTCGCTGAATGCAAAATGAACATCGGAGATATATTAAACATTCAATTTAAACCAAACTCAATCAGGACGAGTTTCGTGTCTAATAAGCGCAGCAATATTTCTGGTCCAAAACTCATTGAAAAGTTATCAAAATCGAACAAATTGCATCACAAATAAAATTGTTACATATAGCGACTTTTTAGGGATGCATTCGTTTCGAACGCAAATTGCATTTCGCAGCAACTGAACCGGAACGAAGCTTTACATGCAACAACAAATGGGGTAAGTTAACTCTGCGTGAGGTTGTTTAGTGCGTTAAAAATAAAATTTATTTCGCGAATTTAAAACCATTTAAATTCTCTCGGTAAATTACTTTTCGTTACATCGCGCACGACAACAGAGAGAGAGAGAGAGAGAGAGAGAGAGAGAGAGAGAGAGAGAGAGAGAGAGAGAGAGAGAGAGAGAGAAAGAGAGAGTTCAATAAAAGAAGAAAATTTTCGAACTGTAAATTCGGTAAAAAATCTTGTCGGTCAGTTCGATTCAAATGTGAAAAAAAGTTAACTCTGAAAAAAAACTCCCGTAATTCGCATAAACGTTTTCGTCGCCGAGAAGACAAAGGGGGAGGCAGAATGTTGCGAAGGGGTCGATTAAACGCATGCAAATGCGATTGCACATGACGACATCGCAAAGGAGTTTAATATCTGCCGTGCTTCATAAAGTCGCCTTGCGCGTGAGAGGAGGGTGAAATAAATTTCATTAAGTCATTAGAGTTTATCGTCATCGTAATTGTCGTCGAAATTAACATCGTTAATTTCGAGATAATTGCCGTATTGGCGCGTGCAGCGAATGTTCTTTCTTTCTTTCGCTTTAACGACAAGAAACGTGATCCAATTTACTATGGAAATCCTATGTCGCCTTCCCCCCCTCTTGTCGAGGAAATCAATTACGTCGAATGAATACAACATGAAGGGCGTAAAGGGTTAGTCACGAGTCCGCGACCGGTAACCGGACCCCGTTGAACGACACGGCATCGAACACAGACGCAAAGAGGGAATCTCGAGAGTAGCAAGCCGGACAGATCTGATTTGTCAGAAGGCAGGAATCACCGCTGACAAATCTCGTTACGTCTCGGCTCTGATTAGGACTCGAAGGTCTCCGGCTCTTGCGCCCAAAGTGCTATACGAACTTTTTATTCGTCATTCAATATACAGAGAAGAAAGTCACGTAAAATTAAAAAACAATTGAAAAACATCTTACAAAAGTAACAAAAATTTAACTTTAAATAAAGAATAAATTGATTAATATTAAATAATAGATAAATAAGTAATTTTGGAGTAAGCAAATATTAGATATAATTTTATTATTACAAATTATTGACGAGATTTTATCGTTTTAACAGTGAGACTTTCCTCTCAATTGAAATGTTACTATTGAAACAATAATGAAATAGCAAAAGCATCTATTTTTCGTTAAAGTTTCTTACCTTGGCGGGGTCGGATTTCTCCGGTTGCTCGTTGAAGGTCTGCGAACCCCTGGACATTGTGTTTCTCCGGGGTGTTGTCGTGCCATCTTGCGAAGGGCGCACAAACTCGATTCTACCACCCTCCACGACGATATTAGGGGCTGGTGGAAAATTCTCTGTGTTACCGACTGTATCGCAGTATCCCAAAAGACCGGCTTTCTCCCCGTACAGGGGGTGGATTTGCCTGCAACAGAGGGTAAAAGCTCGACTGGAGAATGCTTCGATAACAGCAGATGGTGCTACGGTTTGATAACAGCAGGTGATGTTGGAGAATCAATAACCTCTTAATGATACACTAATTGGCGCAATATATAGAATGCAGCTTGATATAAATATAAATACTAATCTCTTCTTATTTTTTAAATACAAAATATTCCCAAAAAGAAAGATAGAACATTCTTTTGATTACAATTAAAGACCAATGTATTTATTTACCTTTCAATCCTTTTCGTGTAAACAAGAGTGTTGTAATACTCCTTAGTCACGCATTAACATTTTGCAATTAATTCGTGCGAGTAACGGGCGATGGCCCCGTATCGACACGCGTGCACTCTAGCACGACGAAGTGTCATTGTGCAAGCGGAAAAGAGTGACCGACTTTAAGCGCTCTGACAAAGGCGATTCGTTCGACAATTCTCTTCTTCGTAGTGCACGGCACTGTCGAGCGCAATGCAGACGCGGTGACCGATATTGCACGGACAGATGCATTTGCGTATCAATGTCAATAATCTCGTCGGGGAGCGGCGTCGCGCGACAGGATTACAGAGCAGAAACCGCTCCACTTTCGACGATTATTCCCAAACCCTTTAAGTCCACCCAAGTCTTAAGTCTCTTTGCGCGATGCGTATGAAAATGCATATATACAAACGCCTGCCTCTCATCTCTCCATACCGCTTTCATCGCGCGGCGACAAAACCGTCGGATCGATAAAGAAATGTGCGGGGATTTTACAGACGAACCTTTGAAACTCGAGAGGAAGGACGAAAGAATTTGCAGTACTAGAATTTATATTAAATAACAATAAAAAAAATTACCAATTCTAAATAATAATTATAAAATAATGCAATTGATCAGAAATAAGTGAAAAGAAGAAAATAGTGAATAATAAAAGTATGTTAGTTACTTTTTCGTATTGTTTTAACGATACTGCACTTGCTCTTTTCATATCGATTTCATACTATCTGTTACACAACATAATGTAATTATCATGTAATTGTATGAGCAATTAAGTACGAGTAAACTTACCTAGGTGACGGTATGGGACGAGGCTTATCAAGCGCCAGATCCGAGCTGAGGGGCGAGTCGGGTCCGCGGCCGCTGGAAGCCCTAGAAGCAAACAGAATTATTGTTAGTTGAATTAATTGTAACAAACAAGCCAATAGTTTATCGAAAACTCTCTTGTCCACCATCAAGGTTCAATATCCTTTGAAAATTAATCGATCGATACGAGATCGATCTCCCGTTGTCAAAGATCTTTCAGATTTTTAGAATTCTTTAAGAGTCCCTACAAAATAACATAATTTATATTTTAAAATAATGCAAAATAATAATTTATAATACAAGAGATACTTGGTTAAAACTAAAAAAAGATTAGTATACATATTTTACCTACTATCATAATTTACAATGAATGCAAAATGGACAACATCAATGTTTCAATTTTATCAATTAGAGAAATCTTGAATTTCTCTTTACCATTTACAGAAATACTATCCATATTCCTTGCACTTTCCATTTCGACTTATTCACTATTACAACGTAATCACGTCTTTCCGATTTAAATCGAACGAGTCTCGATTTAACATCCGCGCGTGGATTTACGGCGGCTGATAAGCGATTAGAGAAGGACCGTTAGACTCGCGCACACATAAATTCCATACGAAGTCGCGGGAGTTCGATCGTGATGCGCTTTCGCGCGCGAATCCGAGATACTGCGCTTCTCACAGCGGGGAGTGTCGCGCGAGAGCCCGTTTGCGTTGAAGAAGTTTGAAGCTCGGGGAACGTAGTTCCACGCATTGCGTAAGAGCCGCGATTCCGTTTGTACTTTGCTCGCACGTTCACAACGACTTCAATATTCATATTTTATCCGCCAGACGACGTGATATCGACCGGTAATTCTGGCGACCGGCGCCTAACATAAACAGGCCAGACGAATAATTCATAACTGTGGAATTCGATAGAGTATTAATTTGATGGAATAAACAGTCTGGAATGCTAAATGTGCAATAAGTGCGGAATAAAATTAGATATGTCGAATAAAAGTAAAACGAAAACTTCACGATTTGTAGAAGGTATTTTTCTCTGGTGAAACATTTTGTCCCGAAAATTGAAAAATATGCGAGATATAAGAAAGAAGAAAACTCTCGAATTTTTTAAATTTTATTTAATATAACGTTAGAAATGCTATCTGATTTTTTCATCTTGTTGTGTATATTATTTTCCCGATAAAAGTATGCTGTAGAATTACTGTCTAAGATTTCCAATTCAAATCTGAAATAAAAAATCCAAGTAACGTGTCCAAATTTGCAAATTCGAAAAGTTTTTTCAATGCATATAATTGCAAAATAATTAATGTAATATGTAATATAATGTAGTTTTGAAATATTTTCACATTATTCAATTCTCTAAACATCTATAAGCAGATAAAATTTTTTAGAAGTTTATATATTTCTAATATCGATTTGTATAATAGTTGTATAAAAGAAATTTTTTAACACAATTAACATTATGCGAATTCACAAATTAGGGAAGATAATAAGACTATTATTTAATTGTTTTAGAGATTCTTCAACTATGCGTGTAATGTATTGCGTGCGTAATTTTATTGTTTTACAGAGTATGTAATTAGTTCCAAAAATGGTTATTAAATATATTGCTTATGTTCTTTAAGTATACATTATAATAATATTAGACCAAAATTAATTTAAAATCAATTTTAAAAAGTATTATCTTTCTGTAACTCGTACATAGTAAATGAAAATACTTTATTATATTTTACGTATTTTTTTACATATCAAACAGTCGCTTTAATTATCTAATTTAATATTATAAGACAATAAAAAAGAGAAAAATTATAAAAATTTATCAAATATTACATTACAGTAAATTTCTATTTCTATTGAATAGGTTCTATTAAATAAATAAATTATATTAATTTCTCTTAAAATTTCATTGTATTAATAAAAATGTATCAGTTATGCACTATATTATAATTGATACAGTATTAATCCCCAAATTGATACAAATGTTTACGATTAAAATAATTAGACATTAATACGATTTTTTCGAAATACGAATTGTTTTCAGTTATTCCAAATCATTTAAGTTATCAAAATCAAAATTATTGTTATTGCTGGCTGTGCTACTTGAACGTAGAACGTTGTCATAATCTGTTCTGGATAAATCTATGAAAATATTGAAATATGTATTAGAAGTATTAAACGCGATTCAAAGAAATTAAAATTTTATAATATAATGACGCTCATCGTCGTCGTCTCTTTAATTTTGTATCCTTGTTAATCACTCAGATATACCGTGTGTTTCTTACATTGTTGCCCAAGTCTGTTGCCCAAGTCTATACTGTTTCTTCACGTGTCTTTTTATGTAGTTTGAGAAGGTAAGCTTTAGAATCATAGTGTTAGAACTCTTCTTGCATCACACATGAAAATCATTAATCAGTTCAACATTTTTCCACCATAGGATTTTTTCAGAGATTTCGAATTGTTTAAGTCACTAATCGTTGAAGTCAAAACTGTTGTTATTGCTGGCTGGCTACTTGCAGATCCGTTGTCAAAGTCTATTCTGGATAAATTTATGAAGATTTTGAAAATATTTCTTAGAAACGAATGCTATTGTCTGGATTACAGTGTGCACATTATATATATATACACAAGCGCATTAAATGCTTTAAAAATAAAATAAAATTTTGTAATATATAAATATTAATAAAACTCACCATTTTTCTTTCTTACTTTTGTGTACTTGTCATGGTTTAGATATATCGTTTAGTTCTTGTACTGTTGCAGAAGTCTTTCCATGTATTTTATCAAGATGTCTTGACATGCTTGTTGATAAACTAAACTGTATCATATTCTTTCCTTTTCGTTTCTTACATAGCGCACATTTCACACTAAAATTATTATGCTGTGTAACATAGTTCCACGTCGAGTCATGTAAATTATCGTCTGATTCCTTTATATTATGTCGGTTTAATAAATGATATTGTAGAGAAAAATAGCTCCGGTTTATCGACATGCGCCGGTGGCATTCCGGTATTTTGCATTTAGCCTTTGAATCGTTAATTTTTTCGAAATGTTCCCATATCCAATGTTCTTGCTTCACTATCATATTAGAATGCTTTTTTTTTTAATGTTGAGTTAGGGTAGATGTATTAATATAAATTATGTTTCGTCTGTTTGGCAAACACAATTTACATACTGCTTTAAACTTGTCCTTTATTTCGAAATATTCGAACTCCCAACGGTCATTCTTTTTATTCGGATATGTAGACATTTCGTCTATCTTTTAGAACAGAGTGCTAGTAACTAACTAAGGTGAAAACGAACTGAACGATCGTAACGCAACGTCCGTGCGAATAATACAGTGTATATATTATGAGAAGTGTTTACAAACTTTTCGGCCTAGTAGCAGGCCACTCTCAATGTAATCCAGAAGAACAAAAGTGAATAATGCGATTGCTTTCTTCGCAAAATCGCGATTTACGATAAACATGTAAAACCAATAATTGCTCATATATATATATAATAATTATAAAATATATTTTGTCATGTGAAACATATGTGTCACATCTTAAATTAATATGAAACATTAATTAAACGTGATTGTACATTATTTAAGAAATGTACTTTATAATAATGATGCATGTGTGTCACGGATACACTTGTTTTCCCAAATATTTCGGATTATTTAAGTTTATAATCGTTAAAGTCAAGACCAGCGCTGCCCAATCTTTTTGTATATACAAGTTGCTTTTTTTAATAGGGTGATCTCGTGATCTGTTCATGTACAGAGGAAAAAATACAATTTGAAATATAAAATTAGAATGTGATCGTAACATTTATTAAAAGTATCAATAGAGACAGACTAAGTGTCAAAATATATAGAAGTTAATAGAAAAAAATAAATATAAAAATTAAAAACAAATTTTATAATAAGATCAAACAAAGTAAAAATGGAAATGTAAAGAAAATCTATCAAAAAACACGTCGCGATCGACTGATAGATTGCGATCGACTTAGGCACACCTAGTCAAGACTGTTGGCTAATTTCTAATTTTTTTTGTGTTTATTATGCTAGAGCGCAATAATTATTAACACAATAATATTAATAATATATATATATAAAATCTGTCATTGTTTTTTTTTGTGTATTTCTTTAAACCCAAGTGTTATTTTTTATATTGTTCTTTCAATCTCCATATGTTTCGCTATGATGTAGATTTTTAAGTGCATCGATAACAAAAGCGATATAGTAGTACCACAGATTTTATACTTCTCGTGATAATCATCTTTTTATGTACAACCTGTTAGTACATTATATAAAATTGAATTTATTTAATTTTCAATGTTCTATTTTATGAATGCCGACTAGATGTCTGATTAATTCAACTTTGTTTTTGCAATTAGTGCTTTTCTTGATTTGTCAGACACAATTTATCTACTAGTTAATGCAACGCTTCGTATTTTTCGGCCAACAGCTCTGATGTAATTGTCTGTCCTCGCGGAAATTACAGACTGATTTCGAGCAATAACTCCACAAGCAAAAGTCTATTCCAAGTGACTGCGAAATTTTATTTCTCTCGTGAGATTTAATGTCGTTTCTTCTCCTCTTGACACGCGTGCAAACCCATAAAACTCGCTGATATCTTGTTTATCACGCGACGAAATGGATTTCAATTAAATCAACATGAACAGCAATTTATATCAGTTATAAGTTCTTTATAATTGTTTCATTATTTCTCATTGTTTCTCATTATCTCTTAAAAACATCGGCGAGATTGACCGATTGTCCGGAATAAAAATTTTAGCGCTAAAATGCTTTATTTTATACTAGACACAAATTTCTGTGTAGAATGAGAAAGAAAGAAAAGAAAAACGGTTAATTAGATAGATTTAAGGTATATTGTATTTCAGACACAGATACGCGGTCAATAGATCGCTAATAGCTTTGTTTTAATCGCAGTAGAGTCACATTGTAAGCTACTTTGTGAATGATGGCAAAGTTCGTGGAATTTCTTGGTTACAAGAATGTCATCCAAAGACTTTTCTTGCAGCTGTTCTGTAGAACATGGAGGTAAAGTTAAAGCTTGGTGGACCGCTTTGGTGAAGCCAGTATTTTCGATTTTTATCACATGTAAGGAAATTGAGTTACACACACATTTGGAACACAAAATGATATTGATAAAAATTGATAAAGGCCAGGTTTCTCATCACGGATTACTGTTTAATTTGTTTTTCGATTAAAAATAAAAATACATTAATTTATTTTTTTAAATATAAAAAAACAAACCCGCATCAATATAAGTGGAAATTCTACGTATTCTATTTATTTAATCAAATTTTATAATAATAACTTGTTTAATCAATTTTTTTATGTTTAAATAGTTTTCTCAAATACTTGCATACTTTTCTAGTTTTTCTCGTAATTCCTCGCGCAGTAATATCTCGAATAAAAGATAGAACATTATAATATATATATTATAATATTGATTTTGCATTAATTTTACAATAAATTTTTTGCAAAAATCGATTAAATAATGACGACTGATTACAAACGATCGGAATGCGTCGCGACGCGAAGCGTCGCCGCGCAGCCTCGCTGCTTATGCGGATTCGCTCGACAACGGTGTTTTGCTCTCCCCGGTTCGCTCACTTCCGCTCGCAAATCCTCTCGGACCGCCGGATTTGGAGCTCTTGGCAGCCGCTCAGACGTCCGCGATGAAATATCTAGCACGAGTGACTTTGATCTTCCACGGCGCGCGCTCGAAACGGCGTGGATGCGCGAATAGCGCGGGCATGCGTGCGTATTCACGCCTGTCCACAAATGCGCGTGTATGACGCTCTGGGAACCAGGAAGTTTCAACGCGATGTATGCATGAGATGTCGTCATACCGGGTGTCAAATATCGACAATTCGCAAATGATTTCATGAACATCAAACGCGCATTTACATTTTATTGTAGTGATTAAAATTTATTGAACAAAGTGAAAGAAAAACGACGACATATATTTTACAACTTGAAATGAGAGAGAGAAAGGGAAACAGCATGATTAATTCGTCTGAACCGAACACCCGGTATTATCATTCGCACAGAACACACGCGCGACAGCTGCGTCCATATGGAAGCTCGGCGAAATCTCGTTGACCCTCTTCCACGCATTCTCACGTGGAACGGGGAGGTGGGTGAATCACCCTCGCTGAAATTCTAAAAGCGCCTGTTTCTCAAAAGTCTATTATGGAGCACTTAGAATCATGCGCCTCGGTATTTCTGCCGCACCTCGACCGCGCTTGCAGTGATCGTTGCGCGTTGGCAAGCCAACGCGCAAGCCACCTAAAAGTGCGCCGACGCTCGCGCCCGTGATTTACCGATCTGTTGATATTCGAATCCTCGCCCGAATTAGGCAAAAAGAAAAACCAAAGTCCGGCAATTAATTTTCTTCTTCGCCACTTCGGGCGATAAGTAATGATTTCTTGCGGTTCAATATCTAAATTACATTTCGCTTGATTTTTAGACTCTTCTCGCTTTTAACATCGCAAGTATTTATTTCGTGAACTAGAAGCAAATTCGTTCTCTTTGTATACCTTATATTAATTTCAATATTTGCAAAGTCTAATTGCATCTAAAATTTCGTTTAAACAAATATTTGTGTAAAAAGATTTGTTTGCGAAAAATTTGATAAACACAGCATGCAGACGCGGAAAAATGCTGTTTTCATACGGAAATCGCATCGCGCCAATAAAGAATGCTTTACAAGAAAAAAGTTCCAAACTTTTAAAAATTTCTCCCACAAATGTTGCTCGATCTTTTCTCCCGCGATAAAAGCCGTGCGAGTGTATTTGCGAGGTAACTCCGCGCGAAACGTGCAGCGGCACCACGCCGTTTATCCTCTTTTTTAGCAACGCAATTCGCTCTCCTGCAACTTTGCTGAATTGCTAGATCGTTAAGTCGTAACTAAGAGAGAGATAAAAAGAGAGAGTACTTTGGAAAATGGCGAGAATCGGAAAATCGAGCAATCTCGGATTCGCGAGTTACGAATTGAAACAGAATCCGACACCTCCTCGACGTCGACGTCGTCGGTACTGATTGTGAGACTCTCCCGTGCTCGAGAAACCCAATTTGTTGGACGGCGAACCGCTTTTACGTGCGTGTCGTAAAATTGCGACGTAACGTTTCCAGACGTCGGAAAACGCCAACGGATGAGAACGAATTATGTCGCATTCGCCGTGCCTGACATTCTGCAACGGGAGTAAAAACAGCGGAAGACGCGGACGCACGCCTTTGAAGAGTCGACGAAAAAATAAGATCAGCGCCAGCAAAAATGTTAGTCGCGTAACGACGATATGGCGTAGCTGTCGTATTTCATCGTGAAAACCAGGCAGGTCTGTGACGATTCGGGAGCGGCCATAATTACGTCTAAATTACGTCTACGAGCCACTTGTGTTACTCATTTATCGCCTACGTGTGTGTATTCCAACTTAATTAGAATAAAAATTAAGATAAGAAGATGCCGACATTTAATTAGCTGCGAAATAGAGAAAGCAAGTAAAAACTTTTCAAATTAAGTATTTTAGGGCACAGCCCTTTTTTCTTAACAAGATAACGAAATATATTTCAACAAAGAAAGTTTTTGCAGCTTTGAAATAAAAATGCACTTTCAAGAAATATATAATAAGAATATAATTCTTTAATTGACTCGGTTTTAGAAGCGCAAGAGCCGATCCTCAATTTTCGATTGCCGTGGTGACTCAGACATGACAAAGTACGATTTGCGGAAGGATTCGTAGCGCTCCTGCTCGTTCGCGCTCCGCGATAGCCGAGGTGCAGCAGTCTGCAACCGGTAACGGTACACCAAGCCGCGCGAATATTCCTCGAACGAAGCCAGTGTCGGGTGTGCAACGTGCATTAGCAGACGTCAGGTCCCTTCGTCTTTGCAATGTAACACTATATTCCTCTCTCTCTCTCTCTTTCTCTCTGTGCAAGAGCACGTTGACCAGCATCGCGCTGCTCGATGCAGTTCGCTCGTCATGCGGCTCGTTCATGAGATAACGAGAACGCCGGAAAGACTGCAATTATTTGCAGCACGCGAGTTACATTATCGTGTATGTTTGTGATATCTCTGCGGAAAAATGTAAGACTGTACTGACGATTCGAGAGCAAGAGTGCAATTAAAATTTTTTTCTGTTATTAATCATAATCCTATTGTAGAATAGTGTTAATTCAAGAATAATGTTATTACTCCAGCGTGAAGATAACGATAACGATTCGTAAAGAATCGTTC